CGTGTGTGTGTGTGTATGCATGTGTGTGTGTGTGTGTGTGTGTGTGTGTGTGTGCGTGTGTGTGTGTGTGTGTGTGTGTGTGTGTGTGTTCTCCCCTCGCAGGCCAGCTGGGAGAGGCGCGTTCTGAAAAGCCTGAACAGCATGAGCGCCGAGCTGGGAGTGCCTCTGGCTCGGATGGTAGGTGAAATCCACCCCGTCGCGTCCCATTTTGGCCTCTTTTTTTTCCTTATTCCCCTCACAACCCGCCGTGGCTGTTGGGCTGAGGCCGTGCGGGCGGCGGCGTGCGGGACCCCGCGTTGCCCGGGCAACACGGCGCCCGCTCAGCCGCTCCCTTCTGCTCCACAGAGGCCGGCGGCCGAGCAGCAGGAGCTGGCCAGCAAGTGGAACGAGATGGGCACCGACGAACCAGGTGGGCAGAAGCTACCCGGGGGCCAAAGCTACCCGGGGGCAGAAGGGGGGAGGGGGGGGGGGGGGGCGTGCAGGCCGCCTTTATCGGGTCTGACACGTGCGTGCTGGTGTGTGTTTACCGCCAGCTCAGCAAACTGTCAGCAAACCAGATCTGCCGCTGCGTGTTTGCTCTGGGAGCTCCGGCCCTTTTTTTTCTGTCCTCTTCCTGTTCCGCACCGTCTGTATTTCACCTTTCAGACAAACAAAAACAGAGAAAAAAGTCTCCTTCTCCTCTCAGAATCAGCTTAAAGCTCATGGCTCTGCTCCGGGGAGCGGCTTCAGGTCTTCCTCTGGTGGTTTTTCTTCTCTCCTCTCTGACAGTTTCTCTGGTTATTGGGTCCCACAGAGCTTCAAGCCTTCCTCCATCAGTCCTTCTGGAGACTTTCTCCAATTCTCATCTGGATGCGTTCGCCTCTGCCTGAAGATCAGCAGCCGTCTAGCTTTTGTTTGCTGCCTTTTATTTGGAAATAAGCCTCCAAACACACCCAAACACACTCAGAGAGCATCCAGTAGCACGACGAGCTTGAATTCACTTTGAATTCACAAATCGGCCCTGTTTCACAATTTTTAAACTATTAGGATTTCAAACCCAGTTCCCACTGAATTCCACCAATAAAACTCTATTCTGCTCAGAATTTCCAGGAAAGAAATACAATTATTAGAATTGTTGGAATATATTTAGTTTTTTTATATACATGTATATATACACAGTACAACCTCTACTTACGATCTAAAGATACGTAATTCAATCAAATATTCAACTAAACACCCAAAGTGAATTTCCAACATATGTCAAAGTAATATGTCAAAGAATAAAAATACAATATAAAAATTAAATAAAAATAAATAAGCTAAGTCAGTTCAAAAGTTCAGGTAGTGAGTAAGTTAGTATACGTCCTGTATCTCAGTCTCCACTCCTACCTCCTTTCACCAATAACTGCCAATAAAATCCCTTTTATTGATTATTTCTTTATCATTAATTTCTTTTTACATCTCTCTTATATAATGCATTTGGTTTACCGCTATGTGTAATTATCAGCAGTATTTATTTAGGAGTTATCGTAGTTTTTTTGGGCTTTGGAACGAATGATAGGAATTACAGTGTATTCTGATGGGAATATTTGAACCAACATACAAATATTATAACATAGGAAGTCGGTCCTGGAACCAGTTAAATCGTATGTAGAGGTTCTGCTGTATATATATACATACATACATACCCGTTGGAGTTTGAACCATTACAGGAACATACAGGGTTATTCTGGAACCAGCAGACTCATTGGGGGGGGTCTTCTACATCGTGAGGCAGCACACAGGAATGTATTGGATCCCCCGGATGAACGCACAGTTATCAGCCGGCCTGTCTCGGAGGGGAAACAGAGTTTATTGGCTCTCAGGCTGGTGCTGCAGCTCCTGCCGATCGTGTTCCCGAGCGGCTCTATCGCGGCTCGGGGGGGATCATAACATTTAGGATGTGCTGTAAACACTGTGGACTGGGAGCATCGAGCCTGTCCAGACCAGCCCCGATAACGAGGGGGGGGGGGGGGGGTTCAGCTGAGGAGCTCCACGGCCTGCTGGGTGGTTCAGATCTGAATCATTTTGGCTTTTTCAGAAGGAGCAGGTGATCTGGAGGCCGGTTTGGTTGTTTCTGACCTCAAATCCTCCCCTTTTCTGTTTCAGTTCCTACAGTTTCCTACAGTTTCTCAGACTGAGCAACATTTAGACACTCTTTAGTTTTAGTCAAACGGTGACATTGCAGAAGAGGTTTGATTACCAGACAAACACAAACAGATGTCTTTACCTCCTAAAATCCTTCAGATTTTCACCTGAACTGGCTATGGTCGGTCTTCTTCTTTTGGCTGTTTGGGAGGAGGCAGGTTATCTGGAGGCCGGTTTGGGTTGTTTCTGACCTCAAATCCTCCCCTTTTCTGTCTGAGTTCCTACATTTTCTTTTCCGTCTCAGGCTAAGCAACATTTAGACACTCTTTGGTTTTAGTCTCTATTGTTTGCCACTTGAAAAAATGAATAAATTAAGCTAATTTAAAACAAGACAAACTGTGACATTTCAGAAGTGGTTTGATTACCAGACATACACAAACAGACGTCTTTACCTCCTAAAATCCTTCAGATTTAGCCCGAACCGGCTACGGTGGGTAATCTTCGTTGGGCTGTGTCTAAGTCCTGGTGCTCGGCTGCTTGTTGGTAATGATTTGTTCCCCTCGCGGGCGACCTGATTTGATAGATCGGAAGTGTCAGCTGGTGAACTCTGGAAGCTGATCGGTGACACTGTAAATAAGGTTGTGTGTGTCTCGCCGCAGATCTCAGCCGCTTCCGGCCCGTTTACGCCCCCAAAGACTTCCTGGAGGTAAGAGCCGTGCCCTTGCTGCAAAAGGTTTTCGTGTCAATTATAGATGCCTCAAGCGACATTTCCCCCTCCGTCTGAACAGGTTTTAGTCAGTTTGAGGAACCCGAACCACGACAGCAGCGAGGACGTGGGCGCCAAAAGCCACTGGGGTCTCGTCCACGTCCCCCTCAATGTCAGGGACATCCCACAGCTGGTAGGCACCCCGAAACGCTAATGGCCCGCTCAGGTCGGATCGGGGAAAATGTCAGGAAGCCTGGAAATGCTCAGCCCTGTGGCTCCCCTTTGCAGAGGCAGGCGTACGCGGAGCTGAACCTGAACGCGGGGCAGCTGGGGATAGACGACCACGTCCACCCAGGTACTCAACGCAAACACACTCCAGGCTCGATTCGGATCCGATTCGGGGCCTGGAGTTTATTGACAAACGGGGATCGACCGGGCAGAAGCCTCGGAGCCTCGCGGCCGTCTGGCGTTTCTCAAACAAACCTCTGTGAAGTCCAGATACTGGGACCGTTCCAGTTCGCCTTAAATAGAGTCGCCTCCGTGTTTGTAAATGGAACCGATAACTTTGCTGATGAATGGTTTCTTTCTCTCTTTGTCTCTGTGCAGATTTGTTTGAAAACGAGTACGTTCAAATCGGGAAAAAAGGTCAGTGTTTTTTTTTGTTTTATTTGGGAAGCGGTGAAAAATACGAATGATGCGGGATTTGACTGATTTAAAATCTTAGAAATGCTCAATTTATTCATTCAAAGAAAACATATCAAATGTTGAAAGCCTGGCACTGATTTATTACTGAATTATATTAATTATATCATTTTATGGCAACAAAGTGTCACAATAAACATCTTCTAACATCAGTGTGTAAACATCTGGATCTGAGGAGAGCAGCTGTTGGAGCTTTAGGAGAGGAATGTTGCTTAGATTCTCTCTTTTGTATTTTAAATGTCGAAATGAAGCAGAATAAAATAATAAGCAAGTCATATATATATATATTTTTGTTTACCTGAGAGGTGGCTGGTTCGTCTAATTTTCATTCTGAAGGAGTTGTACAAGATTTCCAAAATTCTGATCCCAGTCTGGGAATGATCCCAGGAATGAGCTGGAGTTTCTGCTTCATGTGTCTTCCTGCCTGCGTTTGTGTTCACGTTTGTCTGCTTATGTTGTGTCAGGGAACTATTTGTGCTGCTTAAAAACGACGTGAAGCCCAATGAAAAGCACACATCAGGTCTGCGTGGGTCAGAAGCCAAATTTGGTCTTCAAATTCAGTCTTGGAGAAAACAGCTCTGCTGGGTGGGTCCAGGCACCAAAACCAGTGGCAGCTTCTCTTTTCCCTGAACATCAAACGACAGAAACCCATTCCTAAAACAGGAAGTAGACCCTAGTTTGGCCGGAATTGGTGTTTTAAAGATATTTCGATTAATTTTTTCTGATTCACCGTAAACAGAAACCCACCTCCCTTCATCCTCCCCGCTCCTTTTATTCCTGTAAACGCTCCAAACAGCAGCCCCCGTTTAGGGCGCCAATCGGAGATCGGTGGTGTTAAAACACCAGCTGTTTTTTTTTTTTCCCGGCCCCCGGGACTCCGCACCACCCTCGCTCGGCTGTGTTTGGGCTGCCGGGGTTGAAATTATTATTCAGGGTTCCAAGTGTTAAGCGCAGCCGGACGGCAAATTTAGGGGCGGGGGGCGGCGAAGTTTTTTTTTAGACCAAAACCCGGGGGGGGGGGCGCGTGTCGTCGGCCCACGTTTCCACGGAGATTTAGGGCGAGAAAATCATGCCTGTTTTTTTAATTTAATTTTTTTTTTAACTCTTTATAAAATTTACTGGGATTTGTCCAGAGATGAAGGGGCAGCAGGCGTCCCGATCTGAGAATGTGGAGCTTATGTGGAGTGTGTGCGTGTGTGTGTGTGTGTGTGTGTGTGTGTGTGTGTGTC